AAATTTGTACTATATCAAAGATTAAGCTAATAAAAACCAACTGGCATTGTCGCCAAAGTTCAAAAAAAAAAATAAAACAAAAAATAAAACAAATTGAAAATAATAATATAGATTAGAATATTCTCTAACAGGTTAATTCTTGTTAAATTTAGGATGTGCCCCATGTATTAAATACTGATATCATTTTTGTATATTTTAAAAAATAACAAAAACTAATAAAACTATCACTAAAACATATAATTTGCTGAACTCTAAATTTTGTTCTATATAGAGTTATCTCACATTTTGTATGTAAGTTTATTGCATAAGTAGCACATTATTTCGAAATATATAGTAAAAAACCATTTTTGAATGCTTATCACTTTCCCAAAAACAAAACTTTTTGCTCTAAAATGTTTCAAAACTTGCAAATTTTTTATTGCAAAGGCCAAAGAAATTTAATAAATATTAAAATATAAGGCCTAACTAATGATACATTTGTTAATAAAATAATTAATACATAAAGAATACCAGTAACTTTATTTAAAAAATAGTAAATTGTATTAACATCAGAGGTCTTAAACTAGATTTTTTTATACTTAAGAAATCAATATAAATACTATACAGTATGTATATTTTAAATATTTGAGTTTGAATAGTGACCAAATAAATTTTTGAACAAATCAAATAAATAAAAAAAAGTTATAAGTTATTTCTTTCAATAATAAAGTTTCATAAAATAACCTCAAGCTTAGTGATTATATAATACATATGTATCTAACTTCAAATTGTGTCTTATATTTAAAATCGAACCTTATTGTAATGGTAAAAATATTTTAAATTCGAATACAACATTTTAAATATTCTAATATTAATAATGACTAAGTAAATTCTTCAAATAATTCAAATAAATAAAAAAGGTTTCAGATTATTTTTCTTTAAATCAAGTTTCAGTAATAAGCCCAAGCTCAGAGATGTAGCAGTAGTATATACATATCTGATTTGATGCCAATAAAACAAAAAAGCCTGACAACATTCTTATATATTTACTTACAAGTATTAACTTGACATCTGTGTATATATAAGTACATATAAATATAATGCAAGGTAATTGTCATTTGCTATTAGAGACCTGTAGCATTGGATTTGAAAGAACATATTGTTACAGGATTGCAGCCTTCTTGGTACAATACAACCAAGCAACAAGGTTACCTAGTATAGTGATTGACTATTGCAAATATATATGGGGTGGAGGTATAGTAGTTTACTTTACTACACAGCAGCAGGCAAACAGTTTAAGATAGTAACAATATATAGATTAACTTTTATTAAATAAATACACAGTAACAACCTTGCTTGTAGGAATTACCCTAGAGGGGAAATATCACTTTTACAAGTTAAGAGTAAAGGTAGAAGAATCTAGGTTGAAGTATAGAAACTTAGAATTGATAGAGAAGAGTAAAAGCTATCTTTTATATATCTTTTTACCTAGTGAGGATAGTGGAAATTCGAGCAACATTACTTGATACTGTACTCAGTGTAATGGGGGTTCAAACAACATTAGATATCATTGTAGTTGGGATAGTAAAGGTTTGAATAACATTAAATGATACTGTTCTTGGGGTAGTGGAAACTGTATAGAGATAACTAGGGATATTGTTTATATTATTTGTTATTTGTGCTTGAAACACTTGGGGCTTATGTTTAGGCACTTGGATCTGTGCAAAGACACTTGGGATTTGTGCAGGAATACTTAAGATTTATATTAGAACACTTGGGGTTCATGTCAGGAATACTTGGAATTCTTGTGCTATGGCACTTGGCACAATAATTTGGTGCTAGAATACATGAAACTTGTACAGAGGTACTTGGAGTTTGTAAGATGATAGTAAAATTACAGATGTTACTTAGTGTCATATAGCTGTATCACATTTTTAATAGCCAATTAAGATCCTTTTATCTATCTACAATATAATATAACTATCGATTAACTAATGACTAATAATAAATATAATATAAAATACAATAATAAATAAATATATAATTACTAATATTACTATATAATATACTATGCTAAAATCTACTTTGTAACAATATATATATAAGTATATTAAAAAAAAAAAACAAAAATAAAAATAAAGCATGTTAAAGAGAAAAAGAATAAAATATATATTGTTAAAAAAGTAAAATTAACCCTAATTTCTTTATTTTTTTTATTAGCTTAGATTGTTGAATATTGACTATCACACTGAAAAAAATAGATTCTGATATACTGTATATACTTGAAAATTATAGTTTTATATAGGGTCTTTGCTTTGAAAATCAAGTTTGGATCATATGATTTACTATGTCCTATAAGGTCATTTTCAAGGCAAAGACCCTATATATTCTTAAATCTATTATAATATAAAATTTTATTTGTTATAACTAGAGATGCAAAGTATCTACTCTGCAATTTGTGGAAATGATTACTCTATTATTAGTAAAAATGATCACTCTGCCATTAGTGAAAATAATTGCTCTGCTATTAGTAAAAATGATTGTTTTGCTATTAGTAAAAATTATCACTCTGCTATTAGTGAAAATGAAAGTAAAAATTCTGAAATAACTATCATTAGTGAAAGCCATGAAACCACTGTGACTAATATTAATAAAAGTTCTAAAGTAACTACTATTAGTAAAAAATGTAAGAGAGGAGGCAGATCTGAATCATGGATCTTTAAAGAAGATCATTTTGTTAGATATGATGATTCTCAAAAAGGTAAAAATATTCATTTTATATTAATTATATGAATTAGTTAATATTTATACTGTATATATAATTTGCTAGAAAATTATGTTATATGTACATACTGTAAAGAGGAATTAAAGCATAATAATGATACAGGAACATGTTCTTTAATTCATCATATAAAGAACACTAAGTGTAAAAAATATCTAAAAATTGATAAATCTCAACAAATTCTACAATTGTCTGCAAAAAACCTTGCTACATATAAATTTTTTCAGGAAAAGAGTCATCAAAACTTGTCAAAAATGATTATTAGATATTTGTATTCATTTAGTATAATAAAAGATGAGGAGTTTAGAATGTTTGTTAATGATTTGAGGCCAGAATTTAAGTTTATAAATGAGAAAACAGTATATAATAATTGTAATAATATTGTCAAAGAACTTAAAATAAAAGTCCATACATTAATTTAGAAAACACCTGAGCATTTAAGCTATACAACTGACATGTGAACATCAAATCAAAATCTTGGCTATATGACTGTTATATACTATTTTATTAATAAAAAATAGAAACTTCAAAAACTAATTTTAGCATTCAAAATAGTTCTCTTACTCCATACAGGAATCGACATTAGTAAAACACTTTTTAAGTGTTTTTATAATTAGAATATCATATTAAGAACATTAGCAATTACTGTAGATAATGCAACTAGCAATAATGCTGCAATAAAAATATAAAATATATGCTTGATAAACAAAACATACTTATTGTTAATAGATTCTTATTACATCAATGATGCTATACTTATATCTTAAATCTTATAGTTAGCAATGGTCTTAAACTAGTTAGAAATATTATAAATAAAATTAGAAAATATGCAAAATGAATCTATAGTTTACAACCCTGACAACAAAATTTTGAGGATGCTATAGTTGGATGTTGTCTCAAACTTGCATCAAACCAATGATCAACTCTCAATATACCTACCTACTAGAACTTTGTATATTTAATGCTTATATCTACTATTTTATATAAAAATATATTTGAGAGCTTTGCATTATGAGATATTAATTTTAAGCACATTATGCCTGCTAAGAAGGACTGAACAAAGGCCAAAATTATTTGTGATTTTTTAAAACCATTTTATGAAGTTAATAAAATGTTTAGCATATTTAATTAAAAACTCATAATAATTAGTTACTTAATATATAGTAACAACTATTATATCAGGAAATATGTATTCAACTATAAATATTTTTCTTTCTTATTTGATAAAAATTAAAGTGCATCTTGTGCAAAATGCTACTAATACCAATTTTTTTATTTGTCAAATAGTCATTTCAATGCAATCTAAATTTAATAAATACTAGGTGAATATAGAAGATACACATTGCATTGCATCAATAATAGATCTCTGTTATAAAATGTTATTGCTTACTCATATATATATAAATAAAATGCAATTATTATGCTCTGAAGCAGAGGACAAACTAAATTTTATTAAAACAAAGTAAGAGATATATTTCAATTCTAATGTTTTTAAATATAAACTTGATTATTTTTACTAACAAATAATTATTATAAATAACAGAAAAACTTGTAAATTGATTTACTACTTTTCACTTTATTAGATTTAGTCTCTGTAAAATTGATCCTGCAATGATTATATATGATACAAATACAACTAGTTAATCTAGTCACTTCGATAACATTATTGCTTAGAATATAATGTTAAGAGCTAATCATTATATAGACTAGATTCTTCAGAGACAGAATCTGATAAAATGAAAGTAGTGAATCAATTTACAGATTTTTTTTTCTATCACTCTTATCATACAGAGCTATAATGATCTACCAGTCAACATATATGCAAAATACAGTTGCATCTAACAATTATAATAACAATAATTCGAGAACTCTTTCCGTAAATCATTTTTACACAAAAATAACCAAAAAACCGTCAGTACTAAAATCGTTAATATCTGGTTAATTTATTAAGATAACTAATCTTGGCGTCTTAAGTAAACTTGTTCAGCTACTAATTTTACATATATTCTGAAAGTTTCAAAAAGATAGCTCTCAAACT